TGTATGTGAACTGATTACCTTAACTTTTCCTTAGTGTTACTGTGTATTATTTAGATTAATCAACTGTAGACTTCCTGAACTAAGCAAAGCTTTGATATACTTCATATACTTAGATGTGTCGTGGTTAATACTCAGACATTAAAAAATACAAAGGATTATTCTCAAAATAACATTTTATGTTCAACAACATCAAATATACAAAACATACAGAAACTGATTTCTAAAAATCCATTTCAAATGTTGTTTTCCCCTTCCTTTCTCTAAATGAAACTTGCATGTTATGATTTCACTCCATTCTGTTCCATACTGACTTTTCACATTTTAGGTCTTGGTTTTTGGTCCAGTTTGCTGCATAGTGCCTGGGTCATAGCATGTAAAATCATTTTATATGTTTCTATCACAAGTAAAACATTTATTTATGCTTCTGCATGCTCTTATTGGGGTAGCTCAACGTCACGCATGTCCAGAGTCTGGAGTTGGCATCCCACCTCTGCTGTACACATGTCTGCATGTCAATCTGTCTCTGTGTGTGTGTGTGTGTGTGTGTGTGTGTGTGTGTCTGTGCAGAGTTTGCAAGTTCTCCCTGTCATACAGGTTCCCTTTGAGAACATGCAGTTACGCTAACTGGCATCTCTAAATATTTAGTTCTTATCAGTGGTTTAATACTTCTATGACACAATATCACATTTATAGGCAAGGCTAGGCAAGTTTGGCACCTTTTGTACACTGCAGTGATTCAAAGTGCTTTACGCATAAGAAAAATACAGATTCAAATTTAAATTAAAAAGTTACAAGAGAATAGAAAAAAAAACAGTATTAAAATAATAGATTTAAAAGAGAAAAAATAAAGCAAGTTACAGATAAATTAGGATAAGGTGCCGTTACAGAACAGAAATGCACCAGAGCTAACTGTGTTAAGCAAGCTAAAAGCCTAGTCAAATATCTACAGCATCATATCTATGGAGTCACAAGCAAAAGAAAAACATGCAATCAATGAAACTTGGTAAGAGAGTAAATTTTTATTGATTGATCCCAATTACTACAACCTTGTGCTCTCCTTTCTTTCATACTATACCTGCCTCAACCTGCAATATTTTTCCTATAGTTAAAATGTAAATAGTTGCTGCCTCTTGATGTTTATGTTGTGAGCTTTACAATGAATGATTACTGAAGTGGTCTTCAATCATAACTCAGATAATTAAGGATTTACAAACATATCTCAGACAGGCACAACATAAACACCCTTATATGTATCCCTATATCAAGTTAGTCACTGCATGCTCTAAAATGGAAAATAAAATTTATGAAATATAATACATTTAGTAATGATTAGCCACTTTGTCAAACAGCCACAGACAATAGTTGCTTTATCTGTTTAGGAAAATCTGAATAGGGCCAGATTAAAAGACATTATACCGCGGGTCCTAGTAAAAAACAAAGCATGCAAATTTTCTACGCTCTCTGGAAACAACTAACAATTGTAAAAAAGACTCAATTAGTTCAGCTAAGGAAGCAAGATATTTGAAGTGCTTAGAATGATAACTTGCATATGGACCACCCATCCCGAAATGACAGAATTACAAAAAAACGCCGATGTCCTGACAACAAACAATTTAAACCAGTTTTCAGTATCAGTCTATATTACTATTCCAATATCCAGGGGGGAAATATCTATTAAAGATATGCATATGAGCATAATTTTCGTCTTTGAGAGAGGGTTTTGCAAGTTCTAGAATGTATGTGCGTGCCTGTGTCTCTGTATGTGGAAATGAACTCATCCTATGGGTCACTTTTATATTACTATTGAAACCCATCATGCAATCTCAGTGAAAAACAGAATACTGCTTTTTTAGACATGTTGGGAAACTAAAGAAAATTTAAATGCTGTAATCACCTGAACTATTTCATTAAAGATACATGAAGTATCATTTAAAACTAAAACATAAGATTTGTTTTCATTCCTGCAAAGTTAGAATTGGTGTTCTGCATTTTATGACCATTAATAGATTTCATGGTTTATGGTGCAATTTAGTGTATAGAATCAAAGTTTATATTGCCCAGGTGTATTCTTAATGAATGTGCAATTGTTCTGACTTCTCAGATATTCTATGACGTTCACTGCTGAAATAAAATCTGTGAATATCAAAGATGTCACAGCAATAATTGTACAGCTTTGGTAATGATTTGTCACTTTTCAATTATTTATAGGTTCAATTATTTATAAAATTATTTTTCAATTTATTACTAACATAAGTATCACAAAGTGAAAATAACTTAGTATGACTTTTTTCCTAATATTGAGAAAATACATTCTATTACATAGAAAGAAATAACGTAACTCTGTAAATGCACAAATCTATAACTTTAAACTGTTAGGAGCTGAAGTTCAGGCACCAAAAAGGAATTTGATATAGACAACAATAAGATTAACTAGAGTTCCTTCTACATGTTAACTTTTTTTATGCAAATCAGCTCAAGAATCATCCACATGGCAGAATTTGCAACTACAATGTTATATATTGAAAATTCCATTAAGCCCTACTCTGGGGTGCTGCTGCACAGACATTACCTGAATAAAAACAACAGAAACAAACAGACCAGTACGCTCAGTGTCTTGCAGACCATAACTAATATACCCATCATTTCACACAAATGCCTTACTCTCCTGACAGCTTTATGACCCATGTAATTATGACTCATAGTGGAATTATAGCCTTGGAAAAAAAAAATACATCTGGAATAAAAGTCCAATGCATACAAGATACCATAGACTGTCTTAAACTCCACCTTCAGTCAAGCTCCTGAGTTAGACTTGCCACTCTCAAGCTCTCTTTTTTGGATTTACTTGTTAAATTACTTGTTAAATACATGTAAAAACAAGAAACACCACTTAATGTCTACAGGAGGGTCTAATTACTCAAAAAAGAGAACATCTTTCAAACAATATTGCATTAAATTCAATGACTTACTATATAATAGAAGAAAAAATATTGGGTAATCCTATATTGTTCAAGAAACTCTTTGTTCTGTTTGGAGAGGCGGGCAGAAGCTACATTTTTACTAAAATCACAGCAGTTTGAGCAGCATGGGCCAAAAAAGACATCAGAGCACATCAATGATTAAATGGATTGGTAAGGTAACTCGTCAACAAAACTGTCAAGAGCAGTTAGAACATATTCACACATTTCCAGACACATAATACCTCAGCTCTCATTGGTCAATGTCCAGCCACCAAAAAACAAGGAAGCCTGCAAAGACCACTAGAGTGTGCTGCTGCTGGGGCATACAAACAAGTGGCGGTCTTGTTGCTATTTCAGAACATCACAATCCCAGGAAAACATCACAGCCGTCTCTAGTTATGTTGTGATATGCCGGCGTTATCATAAACTGATAAATTCTAAGTTTCCTAAACATACAAAGGCTTTGACAATTTTCATGGAAATCCTAAGTTTTCTGAGACCGCTATAAATAGAATATGGATAGTATGAATGTATAACTATGACATCAAAAGAAATTCTTGATTCCCAGCTATATTTGGGGAAAGCTATAAACAGCACAAGAGAAAAGAACCCAGAAATTCCCTAAAAAAAAAATCTACTTCGGATCATTCCATCTTCAATCATTATTAATTTGAGGGAAAGTAAAAAAAAAAAAAAACAATTCACAGCACTGGGAAAACTTCACAGCTGCCACTGTGTACCAATGTTTTGCTTTAACACTGAAATTTGTTTAATGGTAACAAAAGTTATGAATGAGTTTGTCTTCTTCAATTAGCTAACACACATTCTTCTTCTTTACCCCACCATAACAATGATAAACCTTCCAGACACTGGCAATAATGCAGGCTAGAAATAGAAAAAGGAGAGTAGCTCTGGGAATCAACAGGTGGGAAAGGGAACAACCTGGCTTACAACAAAAACAAGTCCTATCTACAGACCAGTAAACCAGATTATAAAATAAGCATACTGGTCATGGCTGCTCTAACCACCAGTGCACTGACCACCAGCTAGTCAACGGGGGGGGGGGACACAAAACAAACGCAAGGGACTAATTATTTTGAAATAGCACTGATTTAATATATATAAATACATTAAATCAAAAATATTAAATATATATATGTATGTATTGCAGACTCATCTACACTGCCACGGAAGGTTACGTTATTTACGAATTAACCCCCTAAAATATTTAGTTTTTAAAGCAGAGCTCGAACATCTCACGGTGGTCCCCGTTGAAAACACGTCGTACATTATGAACCACTGTGATACAAACAACGCAAAACGACAACTGTACCGGTGTTCCAAACAAGCGAGCCAAATATTAGTTCTTTTTCACTTACAAAAAAAATCACCAATACTTTATTTTTCTCTATCTGGCTACCAGGGCGAAAGCGAGTGTTTTAAAACTACAAGTCGTAGCTGTACGGCAACTGTGTATAAAGCCACTTTGTTACCATAAAAACGTCTGCGTTCATGTCAAAGGTGAGCTTCCATCGCCTTCCCATGAACGTTAGCAGTATAAGCTTCGTATTTGTCGTGTTTACCGTCTCGAGGGGGGGGGTGGTGGATAAACACAACTTACAGTGGTCGTAAAATACACGATCGCGTTCTTTATCGATTTTAACACGTTCTCGATGCTATCGGAGACGGATAGATGGCTATTCATGGTGCCCTGTGCCAACAGACATTACAACAGCAGCGGCCATCTGCCAGCCTTACGAAGCAGCTACCCCACCAGCTGCAGTCGCAAAACGCCCTTACAAAGCAGGACATGCATGCAGCTTCTGACGTCTCTGGCCACACTGCGCTTCAAAGCACACAAAAAAGCCAAGAGCGGAAACAATTCAAGCTTTAAAAACCGCATAGCTTTAAACTGCCGGGTTTTCCGACCATTTGCACATGGGATACATTGTAATAATTTTTTTGGGAAATTTAACTTAGTTATTTGAAAATATTTCCCCTAAAAATAAGACTCATGCAAGAACAGTTCAAAACCCTGACATGGCGGCAAGAAAAAGGCGAGAGCTTTTTACTATTTTAGAAACAAGCGCTGACACAGAAAGGGACTCGGTTTCCGATAGTAAGGAATCTCCACTTAATCTTTGTACGGACGTGAAGTGGTTTGAGATTCCTTTCAGAAAGCCCGACTCGGACGATGAGGAAGAACTATTAGAGGATGATGAAGAGGATGAATTCAAAAGCACAGCGGCAGCAGAAACTGCGGACACGGCCAGCTACATCACGGGAGGCAGCTGCAATATTATTTTAGTCACGGACAATGGAATAAAACACGAGGAGGACGCGGAGGACTCTTATTATGCTACCACTAACAGCTTTTCTGAATCCATGTCAAACGACTCAGACATTGATTTCTCTGACTTGGAAGAGGAGGAGCAGAGCTATTTTAACAGTCCTTTTGATGAACTGGACGAGGACTGCACCTCTCCTGACTTCTGGGGCGAACCTGATCAGGTAATTTCAATCGAGCCGTTTACCGCTATCACTGGCCCCCAGCACACATTGGGGGATGAAGCTGACACCCGTGACTATTTCCGGTTGCTCTTCCCTGACTCGCTTTTTGAATACATGGTAGAACAAACAAACAACTACGCCCTCTATAGGCAAAGGAGAAGCGGGAAACTCGATTCCCACTGGCATCCTACTAACCTGAGGGAGATGCAAGCTTATATCGGACTGAATATTCTCATGGGCATTAACCAGCTTCCGGATTATGGAATGTATTGGGCTACTGATATTTTCATAGGAAATGCTGGCTTCAAAAAGACAATGACTGCCAGGCGGTTTGAAAAGCTGAACCAAAACATCCACTTGTGTGACCGCGAACTGGAGCCAGTCCGGGGTCAGCCCGATTATGATGGGTTGTACAAGATCAGGCCTCTGTTGAACGTGGTGCAAAATACTATGTGGGAAGCATATGCTCCAAATAGGTGCTTGACGGTGGACGAGGGGGCAGTCGCGGTGAAGGGCCGTTTCTCCACCACACAGTACATGCCTTCCAAACCTATAAAAAAGGGGCTGAAGGTGTGGATGTTGTGTGACTCCAAGTCTGGATACTGCCACCGTGCCAACATCTATGTGGGTAAACCAGGAGAGGACACAGGAACAGTGGGTTACAGGGTGGTCACCTCACTGGTGCAGGGGCTCGAGGGGAAGTATCACCACATTTTCATGGACAGCTTCTTCACCTCAGTGCCCCTGATGCAGAGGCTGTTGCAGGACGGGCTGTACGCTTGTGGGACCACGCAACAGAACCGTTGCGGGTTCCCCGACATGCTCAAGCTGCGGAACGTGGGCAAGCTGGCGCAGGGCCAGTTCTACCAATGCCAGCATGGCAACATCGTGGCCACCGTCATGCGCGACACCAAGGTCATCAGCTGCCTGTCATCCAACTCGGCGCCGGGCATCGTTGGTATCTGCCAGAGCAAGCAGTGTGACGGCACTGTGTTCGGCATACCACGGCCGCTCCCGCTGCTCCTGTACCAGGAGAACATGCGGGGTGTGGACCTCTGTGACCAGCTTCGTGAGTGCTACCAAGTAGGACGCCCCTGCAAAAAGTGGTGGCGCTACTTCCTGTGGTTCTACATCAACCTGTGCATCGTCAATGCCTACATTATCATGCGGGAGAGCAGGGGCGGCATCCCACCCGCTGGCTTCAGTGGGAAGCAGTTCACACAGCGTCACTTCCGCATCCGCCTGGCCCAGCAGCTGATCGGGGACTACCAAGGGGCACGGGGCATGGAGCGGGCCGCCCGCAAACGCCACTCGGATTCGCCCATAGAGTATGGCCATCGGCTCGAGCGCATGTCTGAGCGCTCTCGCAGGTGCCGGAACTGCACCAATAAGGGACTGCGACATGAGAGCGTCTTCGGTTGCAAGATCTGCAATGTGCACCTGTGCAGGGGAGGATGCTTCTCTGAATTCCATAAATAAGCCTGTTTTATTTTGTTTCATTGCTGTTTTTTTGCGCCAGCAGTCTTAAAATCATATCTACCTTAGGTTTTGAATCCAAAGGTTCACAATACAGGTACATTATCGTAATTAATTTCTTGCATTAGTAGGCGTAGTAATCTAGTTGTAGTATTAGTGGTAGTGATATGTTGCACGTGACTACAGTAAAACAATGGTAACTACTTTGTATCTATCCAATAGATTTCAGCTGAATGCCTTTTTGTCGCATCAAACTGTTTGTTGGTACTTTTTATATGATGAACAAATGAAAGTGCATTTATAAATAAGTTACTGATGAAAAATTTTCAGCACCTACATTGGTCAAAGGCTATTGTCCATTCTGATTTTGTAGAATAAATGCTTTGCCGGGCAGTTCTTCTTATTTTGAGTAATTTTATAATTTCTATTCTGTAACATGAAGCATTTAAAACTTCAGAGCCGACTTTATCTATGCACATTTTGGTGCTCACAGCTTAAAAAGAAAGCAGCCGGCACAGATGAGTGTTTTTCATGTCCTGGAGTTATTACAAGACTGAAAAAATAATCCTCAGATGATGGACATGCTGTAGTTATTTCAAAAGATACTTGAACCAATGCACTGCTGCCATCTATAGATGGGAAACCAGAGTCAAAGTGTAAGCACGCTGAGAGTAAATTGAATTATCTCAAATGGAGACGATGGGAAGTGTTGAATGCCCTAAGCAAACACCTTGATTGTGTGCGCTGTATAAGAGAGCCTCATTATCACGGCTCCTGCATGCCAGCCTTGAGGGATTGCCCCACAAATTAATTCTCAAGTGCAAAAGGTTCTCACCTGTTAAATCGTACACAGATTCTCATGCTGCAGTTATATATATTTTCTGTATGTATTTTTCAAGTAAATAGATTTTCAAATAGGGTTTTTTAACAGTTTTGTTTTGTATTCATCGAAGCCTGTAAAAATGTTCCAGCTGTCAATTTATTTTTTAATCTCACATTGTGTTTACCATTTGGAATGGGGAGAGGTGGAGAAAAGTATTCATAAGAATCACTATCTGAAAGGTCAGGACCTGAGGTCACCGTCTGATTTTGGGGGAAGGCAGATTTTTGCCCATCCTGCTGGGTGCAGATCACATTCAGCTAAAAAATGCATTGGTCCTTGTGCCTTAACCTGTTCAGCATATCAATTAGCTAATTGGTAGATTAGAGTTGCTTTTTGTTTTTCATTGCTTTTTAGATATTTGTGAAGTTATTCATTAATTTTAATACATTTGTTCTAGCTAAATTTTGTTCCTGATGTTTGATAGCTCCTCAGTGTAGAACGTTTTATATCTGAGCCTCCATTAATTAACATAATGCGTTTTACTAGTACTCATTATAAAAAGATTTTTTGAGAAAAATTCAGTACTCTTTTTAGCATGAAGTAAAATAGAATAATGCTATACATCGTGATATGCTGAGTTAGAAACTGCAGCCCTTGTCACAGTTTTCTTTACTCAATGTGAATTAACCATGCCTGAAATTGGTAACCCTTTAAAGATGACAATTAAAATAACTTTTTGTTTAAGTGTATTTCATTTACCAATGCATTGGTCTATTGATCTCTTAATTTAGTGTCTAACCCTTAAAAAGACATTCCCTAGGATATTTTCTGATTCTAACATCTGCTGTAAATGTCCTTGTGATGTTTACCATCTAGGATTTGCCAACCTAGATACCCACTCCTGGTTGATTCAAAGAATCTATTTGAGAGATGCCATGTTACCAACAGGCCTTGTTTGCTGTTAAGACACAATTTAATCTGTGCATGATGAATCATACTGTATATGATTACATTTGAGTATAATGTGCATTAATTTATCTTTAACTTTAGATTAACACACACAGGACAATGAATCTCTCGTGTGATGTTGGATAGACTTTGTCCTCAGCGGTCTTTGAGTGAAATTGGTGAATGCAGAAGTTAAGTATGGAGTTCTTTAGGCTTGAGGTGTCCTCACATGGTTTTGCAAAGACCTCAGTAGTCTGTCACTTTTTTCTGACATTTTTCTTCTATTTAATATTTAATTCTTCCAACAGAACATGAGGCCAAAGGTACAGTTTTGACCTACAGAATAAAGTGAGGCATCACAGGTTTTGTTAGAGTACACTCTCAAAAGTCAAATGGTAACTGTGATAAGTAGTTATGGGTCTGGATAAATTTTCCAGTGTTTTATTTTGATCAGCGCATACTGATCTATATAGTTTACACACATGTGGGGCTCTTATGTTATTGTCATACCATTTAAATATGAGAATGACATCCTCATCTTTATAGACCGTATAATATTTTAAACCATATAATATCAAACATATGCCAGTCTTTGCATTATTGCAATTAAATACATAATATAAATGAATTCATTGCAATTTTGTCTGAAAAGGTGCTGTAAGTGGATTTTTTTTGCTATTTTCCTTTGTTCTGTATTGCTAATTGTGCAGCTCTAAGAACACATTCTTTGTTAGTGTGCATTATACTGCAGGTATATCCATGACAAGCACTCCTGTTATAAGGTTACAACTGAATTAAATGCAATATCGGGTATGAAACATGAGGCACAACATTTGCAGCATGAAGTACTGTGTTTTTCATCAGTTATGTATCACTGACAAAAAGTTTGCAATTGTTAGATTTTTTTTCTCACCAAAAATCAAATTCTTTTGAGGAGTGCATTGCAATACAGAAATAAATTATTTAAAAGCATTCAAATCTAAAGGAAAATGTGGTTTTTTTGTATTGTGCTTTTTTTTTTAATGTGCAGTTTTTCCCTTTTTGCCAAATCTGTCAATTGATACATGGAACCCTGGTCCCATCTGCAGTCTCAGAGAAAACTACATTTGCTATCTCTGATGTAATAATAATTAGTTCATGACTGACACAATTACTCCAGCATGAATTTAGATATCTGTGAATTTACAGAGCAAGTTCATGTTTCTGGGTTTGATTATCAGGAGTTTATGCAAAAAAAAGTGTTAATCAGAATGTTATGTATATACTTAAATAATATCGATGCTGGAAGTAGATTCAAAATCTAAGTTCGATAATAAATGTGATCATCACTATTAAATCCCAGTATTATGATTTCAAACAAGACCTTTTCAAGAAATAGTCCATTTGTTTGCAGGTGGCAAAGTATTTTGTTACTTTTTAAAATTTTATAGCCAGTATCATAAAAAGTCATTACTCTACTTTGAACGTTATCCTTTGTAGGGAGTTTTACAATTGTGCTTTCTTAAGTAAATTGCACCTTGCATTATCTTATGGAACAATTCTTCGAAATGCACACATAATGTACTTTTAACATGCTGAGAAGTGTTTCGGCCACTAGTAGGCGAAAGCTATTAAATCATCCATCCATCCATCCATCCATCCATCCATCCATCTTACCAGATTCCTGGTAAATGCCTCTGTTAGTATACACTCATATATATGAAGAATATGGTAACAGACATACCTTCTCAAATGACTTGTTGACATGTTTGGTTTTCTTTTGGGGCATAAAGGAAAGGAGAAAATTTATTTTATTATGCAGCATGATTATGACCTCCCACTGCCAGGGGTGGGGCTGAAACCCCACCCTTTCTCTGTGTGGACTTTGCATGTTCTCTTTGTGTTTCCGTGAGTCTCCTCTAGATGCCCCTCATTCTTCCTGCAGTTGAGAATCATTCAGCTAGGCTGATTAGTGTCTCTGTGTTACAGTGTGATTGCCCTCTCAGCATGCTGTCCTGAGTGTTCCAGTGTTTCCTGGGGTGTGGGTCCAGACTCTGTTCCTGGATGACAGACTTTAGGGGCTATCAGTGATTCCCCTACTAATGCAAAATACCAATAAAAATAAATGCCAACAGCTATGCATGATGCCAATTAGTTCCACCCATATCATGGGTTTGCAGTACAATTGAATTAGGTTGTAGGTTTATAATACTATGGACATCTAATAATGTGTTATCTAATGCAATGTGTAAATTATAAAATTCAGTTAACGTGTTTATTTTTACAATGAATACGTATTTACTGAGTATGTTTTGCAAGTTAAGTAGACAATAAAAAAATTGTAGATAGGCGATGAAAATATATTTATTTGTTTGTGATGGGTTGGTGGCCTGTCCAGGGTTATTCCCTGCCTTGTGCCCAAAGCTTCCTGAATAGGCTCCAGAGCTCTTTGTGACACTGCACAGGACAAGTGGGTATAGAAGATGGATGAATGAATGGATGAATATTTATTTGTTTGCCCATTTCTGTTTTCTGACCACTGCAGTCATTTTAGACTCGAGTCTTTATATGGGATACCACTGTTTGTTCCCTGTCATTGCTTGAAAACAAAACCAAAAAAGCAATGAATGTTTCCTGCAGAGATAGGAATGTGGAAATGCAGGGGGCGTTCCATTTCACTGCCTCTCCAGATGGCAAGGTGTGCTTCACACAGCACTGGGATTATCCTGTTACCCTCCACGGACTGTTTACTTTTGGAGAACGCGACCAGAACCACTCTGTCCAAACTAGATGTGTCAGTCTTGGCTATCAACTTATACAATAAACATGACAATGAAAGTGAAATCACAGTATTTACTAGGTGAGGACAAGTAATTGTCAAAAACAGCTATAGAAGACTGAATGTCTCAACTCATTATAATACATGATTATTGCATTTTTGTATTTTTATTCGTTTAATATTTTAGTTAATATTTATTATTGACTGGAACCATGATTCTGGTTTATATGTTAATGAATGTCAATTGACAACTAATTCTCTTCAAAGCAAGATACAATTTCTCTGCCCCGCCCAGTGGCTCAATCAAAAACACGTTGAAAGAACTACATTAAGATACTCAATGATTTTGTGGGTGCAGGTGTGATGTATGCTTCTGCATTAAACGATTTGAATAATATTATAACCGCAATATATTTTTTGTGTAGCACAATAAGGAGACATAGACTAGCCAGATGTTTCCATATAGCCAACCAT